TGCTCCCCTCTTGTCACCTATGCCAAGTGCTCCAGCATCGTCCCTTGTGTGAGCTGTTTGTTCCCTTCTGTTGTGGTTGGATTCCTACTACTGCAGGCACACAGGTAGACTGTGCTGGCCCCAAGGACAGCTGGTTGTGGGACCTGGCTGTGTGAGACTGCTAGGGGCATGTTATTGGGTGGAGAAATCCCCTGGCATAGCTGGCTATGAGGTCTAGGGGCACTCAACTACTGCAGTTTTGCTAGTAAGCGAGTCAGGTCCCCAGTGTGGTTGCTAGGCCTGGAGGCACACAACTGCTGCAGGCCCCCAGTGTGGTTAGCTGCATGGCCCTGCAGTGCTTGGCTGCCCTGGATGCATTGGCCGGCTTCCAGTGAGGCTAGTTGCATGGTGCATGGCTGTTGCCAGCTCACTTTCGGGTGAGACAGGCCTCAGGCAAGAACTGGCTATGCAGCTCTGCAATAGGTACACAGCTGCTTCAGGAGCACTGATGGGCAGGGCAGACCACAGACATGGCAGCATGCAACCATTTCAGGCATTGGTAGGTGGAGTGGATGCCCCCTGTGTGGCTATTTGCCAGGAGCAAGTCTACTGCAGGCTCACAACTGGGCTGGGACTGGTCCCTAGAGTGGGCTGCCTGCTGCCTGGCTGCACTTGATTGCCTCAGGTCCTCTAGTGGGTGGGGCCTGCTCTAGTGGGCTGAAGGAACAATTCCAATGGTACCTTCTAGCATCTGTGTCAGCATGACTGAGCTAGGTCATGATAATGGCTACCACCAGTTTCATCCCTGGGGGGTGGGCCTAGCCACCTCCTGCCTCTCCTGGGATGTACTCTGGGCTTAGTAAGTGAGTCTCTTTTACCAATGGACTATGTGTTTTTCTCAATCTCGTGTTTTTGTGCTGGTTTCCAGGTCAAGTGAGTCTGTGCATGGGTCTCTTAAAAGCAGGTTTTTCTTTCCCTGAAGTTCTGGCTTTCTTGGGCATATTCCCCATTGGTTTTCAAAGCCAGGTATCATGGGATCTTGTTTCTCTTGTGCTAGATCTAAGGGCTAGGGTACCTAATGTGGAGCTTGAATCCCCCGCTTCTCCAGGAAAAGTGGGAAAAGCTCCATACCTTTGAGATCGCTCCTGACTGTGAAGCACCACGACTAGGGTGTAGTACTTTCCTCAGCAGGGCTGTATCTCGGCCTCTTCCACCCCCGTCTGTATTGTCTTTTGTCATGGAGGTTCTTTTTATCCAGTTTCCAGATCTCTCTCAGAGGAAACTGTTCCACAGGTAGTTGTTGGTATGGTTCCTTTTTTTCAAAGCTGTTCTAATAGGTGTGGTGTGATAGCCCATTGTGGTCTTCATCTGCATTGGCCTAATGGTGGTGGCTAGAGATGTTGAACATTGTTTCACATGTTTATTTGAAATCTGTCTATCATCTTTGGTGAAATGTCTCTTATTATCTTTTGCTATGTTCTAATTGGATTTTTTTTAATGTTGAGTGTTATATATTTTAGGTAGGAGGGCTTTGTCAGATACGCAGTTTGAAAATATTTTCTCTTGGTCTTTAGCTTGTCTTTTCATCCTCTTAATAGGGTCTTTCTCAGAGCAAAGTTTTTAAATTTTGATGAAGTCCAATTTATTTTTTCTCTTATGTAGCATGCATTTGCTGTCATCTGTAAGAACTCTTCACCAAACCCTGGATTCTAAAGAATTTTTTCCTACATCCTAAAATTTTATAGTTTCTCATTTTACATTTCAATTGTGACCCATTTGTGTTAAACTTTGTATGATGGGTATGGTTATAGTTTGAGGTTCACTTTTTTAGGCTATGGATAGCCAATTGCTCCAGCATCATTTATTTAAAAAACTATGATTTCTCCATTGAATTGCTTTTGGGCACCTTTATCATATTTTAGGTGGCTGTTCTTGTTTGGGGCTATTGGGTTCTCTGTTCTGTTCCATTGATCAGTGTATCAGTCTCTCCGCCAGTACCTCACAGGCTTGATTACTGTAGCTTCAGGTAGAGTGATTTCTCCCACTTCATTCTTCTTTTCCAAACTGTTTTAGCTATTCTACTTTCTTTGTATTTCCATGTGAAATATAAAATAATATTGTCTATATTTATAAAGAAAAATCTTTCTGTTAGTTTGATAGGAATTGCATTAAAACTATATATCAGTTTGGTGAGATTTGACATCTTTACTATGTTGAATCTTCCAAATCATTACCACAAAATATCTTTCCATCTGTTTAGATCTTTAACACTTTATAGATTTATAAATTGCTTTGCCTTCCACTTGGACAATATAGGGGATTTAGAACAATTTTCCCCATATTAGCTTATGTGATTTTGAGGATATACATGGTAATTCCATCTTTCTAATTCCAAAAGGAAATATAATAATTTCATATAGCTAATGAGTGATGGTATAAACCCACAAAACCACCTCTCTCTTGGATTCTCATTCCTTTGATCATTGCAAACTTTTCAACTAGAATCACTTTACTTTGACCTTACACACAATCTTTAGATTGTCATTTTGTATGGGTTATTTTTCCATTAAACTTCACATTTTTGACTTTAAATAGTCTTATTTCACACTGTTCTTGGAAGACATTTTTGCTATGCATGGAAATCTAGGTTGGCAGGGGTTTTTTTTCCAGTAGTTTATGTCCTTCCATCATGTCCCTGACTTTCAACTGTGTATCAGGTCTGGGTGGAGACCATTTTTAGCTTTGTTTAGAGCTTCCTGATCTTACAGGAACAAAGCACTACACTGGATGATTAACAAAACACATCACCCTGAGATCCTAGAATTTAGCTGCAGTCAGAGACTGATGGGGTTTTGGCTTGTCACATTAAGGAGTGAGAGTGTAGAATGTAGAGGATAAATAGTAAAGCGGATATCTGGTGACCAAATTAAGGGATTGTGCTAGAAACTGGCTGGGTGCTCATCAATCCCATTATCTTTTCCAGGATGCTCTGGAGGACAGCATGTCCCAGCTTCCCTTACATTTGGGAACCATGTGAATGAGTTGTGGAAAATGGAATTTGGCCGGAAGTGGGAAATTGTGACTTCTTTATGTTTTCTCGTTTCTGCTGCATCCTGGGGATGCCTCTTTGCACTTAATGCTTTCACATCTCGCAACCCCCAGAATGTATTGCTCTCTTCTTGTGGACTGCAGGTTTAGGTAATGGGTTGACAGTGATTTTATGAGAACAAGACCCAGTACCCTGAGTTGCTGGACATCAGACTAGGCTGTCTCATGATCATTCATTTCTGCCTGAGCCTGCCTGCCCTGAGGGCTGAAGGAGTGGAAGGAGAGGGGTGAAGTCCTGGTTCCTATGAATTAGACATGAATAATGACATGTCATCTTAAATAACAAACTAGAAACCATATCAACTCCACTATCCACTTAGGCCTGCCCACCAAGTAGGTAGTTTTGTCTCATTTATCCACTGGAATTGAAAGAGTGCTTTCCCAGATATGTTGGAGCATTAAAATGTCTTGGAGGGCTTGTTTAAGCACAGATGTTGGGCCCCACCCCAGAGTATCTGATTCAGTAGGTCTTAGTAAATAAATGAAAAACAATATGATATATTGGAGTACATGGGGAAGCCATTTGGGATAAAACAATTTGGCCTGACCTTGTTTTTCCAAAAGGGCTTGATGTGGTCTGTTGAGCATGCATTATACATCTGCGTTAAATATTTATGTGTCCCAAAGACAAGAATGGTGCCCTTAAAGATAGGGATGTAGTTTCCCCCCATATCAGGATTTCTTTAAGGATAAGCATCTCTCTCTAAACTAAGGATTAATCACTGACCTGCTGTGCTCACCTTGTGACCACTCACCTCATGACCACCACCCTGCTGTGTTCACTGATCTGTGCCAGCAAAGCAATCTCGTGACTATTGTTAAAGTGACATTCCTATCATATAAGATGTATGCTCTTTGTTCCAAGATGGTATATAATCACTCTGTACACCCCCACTTCTTTGGTGCCCTTCCTTCGTTGGAAAAAGAAAGCCCTGGGCTAGTCCTCGGATGCGGCTCATAATAAACTCACTCCAATTTTGATTTATAGATTGATTATGGATTATTTACATCAACAGTCTGAAGTGGGGCCTGAGAACTTGTATTTGTAACAAATTCCCAAGTAGTGCTGATGTGGTCTGCAGGTTGGAAACACTGATTAGGGGAACATTTAAAATCACTGTATTAAAGAATTATCTTAATTTTTCATTGTAAATCCTGGCTCAGAGAGGTGAAGTACTCACACAAGCAGACACAGGAAAGCCAGGGCATGGGTTACAAGTTAGAGGCCTTTGAGGCCAGGGCATTGCCTAAGGGCCACTGAAACGTGTGTGAGTCTCCTTTAGGAGGAAGGGAAGCCACGCCTCGCGTCCTCCTTGGAATTGTAGGACCTTGTCTCACAGAAAACAGGAAGTGCCATCCCCTGTTCGCCAGAATGCAGTCAGAAACTACATTACCCAGAAGGCAGTGCCACGAATGTCGGCGGCGGGTGCTGGGCCCCGGACGGAGAGCAGAGAGGGGCGTTTCCTGCGGCAGCGAGGGCGGGACTTCCGGCATCGTATCTTAAGACGTCGTTTGGTTGTGACTGGTGTGTCCTTACGGGCTCTCCTGGCTGGATCCCTGCGGAGCGGCTGCCTGCAGAGGGTCTCGGTGCCCGAGCAGAGGGCAGTGAGGAGAACAAGCCCCACCCCCACACTTTTGTCTGAGCCCTGGCCCCCCAGTGACGCTTGTCCGCGAGCGCACCCCTGGGCCTCGGCGCCTACCCTGTCCCCCAGCCCCTGGAGGCGGCGCCCTGGTCCCGCGTGCCTGTTAGCCGTCGTGGACTGAGGGCCCAGGTCGCCCGGCCCAGGGCTGGCGTGAGGGACGGGCTGAGCCCGCCGGACTGGCCTTTGTCGCCGCCTCTCGCGGCCTCGCGCCGCCCACTTGGCCCATGGCGGCGCCGGCGCGGGTGAGTGGGGTCCCGCGGGCCGGCGCGCGGGCATGAGGGCATCCCGGGACTCGACCTCTCCCGCTTACGCTCTTGCGTCTGAGGTGCTGGGGGAATGGGGTTGGGGAGCGGCAGGTCTGATGGCGTCCAGCCCGGGGTTCTGAATGCCGGCCGCAGGTGATCAGAGGCGCCCACTTCTGGCGCCAGCCTTGAGCTTGTCGCTTCGCTGCGCCTGGCCTGCGTTCCCTCGGGCATAAAGCTGGAATAGACACAGTTCTCTCTCAGTTCAGGGAACCCGAGAGGGTATGCATGTGACCGTCAGTGCTCAGCACGACCCAGAGCATCACTCTGGATGCGGTTCTGGAGAGGGCCTCCCCTGCTCCTGCTCCTACCTTAGGCTCACTCCAGGGGGAGTCTGGCCCCCAGGCCTCGCCCAGCTGGAAGCTGGGGGCTGGTGAGAGCCTCGAGAGCAGAGGTGAGGTGGGAGCACGGCTTTTGGAATTGCTGCTCCTCCAATAGGAGTAGAAGGGCCCTGACCAGGCTGGAAGACACGGTGGTCACTGGCTGTAAGTTTGCAGGTGCCATCTGTGCGTTACAGCTGAAGCTGGCTTGCCGCTTATGGCAGCGAATCCATTTTCCTGTTTAACACGCTTCCTTATACTTGCAAAGGGAATCCATTACAACATTCATTGATGACGGTGTACAGGCGGGTTACGTCCTTGGGACGTGAACACACAACAGACCGTAAGTTACTCCCCAGCGCTCAGCCTGTTTACTCTCGTCAGAGCTCTGATCACCTTCCGGACTTGTCTCAGGTCCGTTTTTCCTCGCCTGGCTTGCCCCCGACTTCATTCCAGCCTCATTCCAGTGTCCCCTCAGGTCGTCCCCAGTTGCCTCAGTCTGCAGTCGCGTCACTGTCTCTTGTTGTTTTCGGAGCCCTTGGGGCCATATGACTTAGCTCGCTCATTTACTTAGTTTCATGCCCAGGATCTTTCCCCGACCTCAGAGCGTGAGCTCCTTTGCTCTATTCCCCAGGCGTAGAGCAGCGCTGGGCCTGTACCAGGTGCTCAGTAAGTGGCTGATGAATGAAAGATTCTACCCTCCCGGGTTCCGGTCATACTTAGATTTAAATCTAAACCCCCCATGATGTCTGGACCAGAGGGATGTGGGTTCAAATCTTGCCCCTTCTCATTAGACATGTAACTGGATGACTTTGAGCCTTCATTTGCTGATTGCAAATGAGAGGATGGCATCTACCTCATGGGCTGTGGGACAGTTAATGAAATTCGCAGATGCGCCGAGCACGGACGTGTGCTGGGTACTGCAGTGTTTGCTTTATGAACATTTTCTCTTTAATCCCCACAACAACCTGGTGCAGTGGGAACTATTATTGTATTGACATGGAAACTGAGGCTCAAATTAGCTGGTGTTGGTTCAGAAGGCTGGGTTTAAACCCTGGGAGTCTGGCTCCAGACCTAGAGACTTCTGGTTGCTTGAACACAGTGTAAAGCCCTCAGGTGCAGGCAGTGTGGACCCGTGAGGCTCTGCTGCTGCTGTTGTCATTATTTGAGTTATTATCCCCCGCCCCCCGCTCTTCTAACGTCCCAGAGCACTTACTGCCTGCTCCTCACAGTCCACCCGAGATTATCGTTGTTTTGGGTCACTCTCCAATGGCTTCCCATAGAAGAGGCTTTTCTGTCCCACACCTTTGTATTCTGTCAAAGGCACAGAGCTAGGTTCTCAGGATTACTCAGTGATTCAGGCCTTGTGTCATTCTGGACTTTTGCCAGTAACCGAGCAATAGGCTCTAATCTCATCTAATAGCCATACAGCCACGACCCCACCTCTGTTTGACTTTCCAGGCATTGGTATCATTTGAAGATGTGGCCGTGACCTTCACTGTGGAGGAATGGAGACATCTGGACCTGGCCCAGAGGACCTTATACCAGGAGGTGATGCTGGAGACTTGTGGGCTCCTGGTCTCTCTGGGTAAGGCCTCATCTCTCTCCCGTGTGGTACCCACGGCCTCTTTCAGTCCACCCTCTCTCTCTAAGCACGGCTGGTTGAGAAGGACTCAGGAACCCAGCTTCCCTTCTCCCCGCAGCCTCAGCATGTTCTGATCTAACCTCCTCTTGATTAGTTTCCCTGTATCTGCCCCAGGGATTGGTGTATAAGAAACAGAGCTGTCAACGCTTTTACCAAGCCTGCAGCACGAGCTGGCCTCAGTCTGATGTCCTTATTCCAGATCCCATTAAGACTGATTGGTTCAGGTTGGTTGGGCCGATGTCCTCACAGTCGCCTTAGTAGGACCTGTGGGCAAGGGGAGGTGTTCCGAGAAGGGGGTGAATCAGACAGGCAGGAACATGTTTGACTGGTGCTGTTCGTATCTTTCTAAGCAACACAGTCGCAGCTGAGGGGCTTCTTTGGCCCCTGGTTCCTGCACAGTTGTCCCTGTCTCCTAAGGCCTGGGTCTTGCAGCTCTGCTGCTGTGGGAGGTAATTGTAGAGGGTGCACAGGCACTCATCAAATGGCAGTGATGGCCTCTGAGAAAGCTGTTCCTTTGTCCCTTCTCTTTCCTGCCTCCTGACTGCTGTTCAGAGAGTCTGGCTTAGTGCTGAGTCCTTAGTGCTCCCATGGCTGTTGGCTAACTTTCCTGTCAGCAGACAGAACAGCCAAAGGACTCACAGCCTTGAGCAGGCAGCATGAGCTTGCTGGGACTTGATATGATTATTTTGATTTTATCGTATTTTTATAGTAACCTTTCACTTCACCCAAGTGAACTAACACTTGTAAAGTACTTAGAATAGAACTGAGAACACAGCAAGTGCCATACATATATTTATTATATATAAAAATGTAATAAATCCCACATGTTCTCCCACCTACACCTTCAGTGGCCAGTCTGCCAGAAATTGGTCTGAGTACAAATTGAATGGAGGCCCAGAGTCTCCCTTTTCCCAGATGGTTCCCTCTGACAGGGCTCTTCCGGCCTTGTGTCCACATAGTCCCTCCCGGGAGGTCAGTCATCAAAAGCGTGAATATAATGCTATTTTATGACAGTTGTGATAAGTTATTGGAAAGAGACGGGGGAATAGTATTCCAGTGGAGGGAACACCAGGAGCAAAGTCCCTGAGGGGGCAGGAGCTGAGTTCCTCAACAGAGACGAAGGAAGGTCTGATTCACCTTATCCGCTGTCCTATCACCAAGCCCGTGCCAGGTACATAGCAGACATCAGGGAACATTTGCTGTGTGACAACTGGTTGCATTCTGGTTGAAGTTTCCGGGGATCCTGGTGCCTCAGTGATTGACTTCTCTCCAGAGTTTTTCTGTCTTCAAGCCTTCACGTTTGGCAGAACACACTGGCTGCATATACCAGAAAATCACCTCATACTGGTTTGTCCCTGAAAAGAATGTATTACTCCACCTAAGGAGAAGGCCTGAGGTGGTGCTGGCTCCCGCCTTGGTAGATGCCAGCCCAGTTCTCTCTGTTTGTGTGCTTTCTCTCCTGGCCCCAGCCTTGGACCAGTCTCTCCTTGGTCATCAGGCCAGCATCCTCGAAGTGACCACAAGGTGATGCAGCAGCAAGTAGGGCAGCAGGTGCCCACGTTCAGCCCTGTCTTCCCAGCCTGGGTTAGGCCCTCTCTGCAGAATGGGCAGCAGTCTTTGGTCATGGCCCACCTCAGACAGCTATCACTAGATGCCGTTCACTAGTTGATTTAGTCCGGTGTTTTAGCCATTTTTAGGCACCAGAATCACCTGGGGAGCTTTAAAAACTACCAATGTTCAGTCCTTATGCCCCGAGATTTGGTTTAATTTGTTCTGTGACTGGAACCAGACACCTCCAGGCAGTTCTGATGCACAGGGAGGTTGAATCCTACTGACTTAATTAGGGAACACCTGGAAGGAGAAGTCCCCTTTTTGGGGTTTCATGGTGGTGTGTTAAAAGTGTATACTCCTGTATACTTGGGACTTTTCCTTTTGTCTTTACCTGTAAACCCAGGCCCGATTTATTTCTCTATGCACAGGGCATCCTGTTCCCAAACCAGAGCTGATCTCCCTTCTGGAGCATGGGCAAGAACTGTGGTCAGGGAAGAAAGTCCGCTTCAAAAGCACCTATACAGGTAGGTGGCTGGGAGTCTGGCAGGTGGTGTCATGGCAGGTGCATGTCGTGGCAGCTGGCAGACTACCAGGAGGTCACCGTGTCTGAAATTCCATGGGCAGCTTCTTTTTGTGGCCTTCCTGGGGTCTTGGGTGGTCATGGAGCACCTTGAACTGTGTTTCTTGTCTTCCCACCCCCATCACACTCTTTGCCTTTCCTAGGGTTGAAATGTGGTTTATTAGGTAAGAGACAGGCTCTAAATGCTTGGCCACTCACCAGCCTCATGACCCTGGGGAAGTTGCAAGATCTCTCTGTGCCTTTGGTATACAAGTTAGGCTGAGTTAATGCTACCTGCTGCAAAAGATAAACTCCAAAATTGGTGGGTCAACAGATTAAGAGTTTTTTCTCATTCATGCCATGGTTTAATGTGGGTCAGCAGGGGAACTCCGTACCACATATTTATTCAGGGATCCAGGTGCCTTCTGTTGTCAATACCTGGCTTTCAGGTTGCCCCGGCCAACCATCATCCAGCTGGCTAAGACGAATAGGAGAGAAGGGGAGTAGTCATAACCACTTTCACATGCACATCACTTCTGTTGGCATTCCATTGATCATAACTGGGCATTAGACATTAGGGCTCTGTATCAAATTGGGAAATGTGGTTTAGATTTGTGCCCAAGGAGAAGAGGCCGTGGGTATGATGAACATATACTCAGTCTGCTAAACCTAGCTACATTTGAAAAGGGTAGTAATAATAGTTTCTGCATCATTGAATTGTTTGGGAATATAATTAGATAACACGAATCTGCTTGTTAGCACATGGCCTGGCCCAAAGTAAGTGGCTGAACAGAAGTTACCTGTTAGTAATAATCACGTATTATTAGTCATAATGAATAATGGTATCTCAAACTTACTTCCGGATTCAGAAAAGACAGTCCTTTCTTTTTCTGCAGATTACTATCTCCAGCTATACTTTGCATCCTACCCTTTTCCACCTTCTCCATCCAATCATTTATTTATCTATATATCCATGCATGCATCCTTCCATTTGTGAATCAGATATTCAGAAGTAGTCCCTAACCTTCTTGTCTTCCTGTCTTGTAAAACCTCAAGGGGATATTTACCTTTGTCAGCCCCACGTCTGGGCTGCTAAGGGCCACTGGAGCCATCAAGTATATGGATAGGCACCAATGCAGGTTCGTGATCTTTCCCCTCCCCTCTTCCTTCAGGCTGTTCGGACAGCTCATGAGTGTCTCTGGTCAACCCTTCCTCAGTCCCTCAGAGTCTGTCTCACACCTTCACCCCTCTCTACAATTCCACATCTTCACTTGAATGTTTCAAAGGCACCTCACACCCATCATGCCTAAAAAAGACTTCATGATCTTGCCTGCTCCTCCTGTCTCCCATTTTCAATTAATGGTCCTGCCATTCAGTAAGTCAACAAAAGCAAAAACAAACTTGGACAACCCCTCAACACCTCCATCTTCCTCATACTGAATATCCAGCCATCCCTGAATCTTGATCATATTGCATCATACATGTTTCCTGAATCCATTGCCTTCACCAGTTCCATTAGTTCCAGCATTAATACCCTAGTCCTGGCTACCATCATCTCTTGCCTGCATGATTCTAACAAATTCCTAACTGGTCTCCCCAGATCTACTCTGCGCCTCTGGTTAGCTCTGTCTTATATCCGCTTCCCCACCCACTCATGTCTTGTTCCAAATTTCACCACCTCCGTAGCCACTGATGATCTCAGCATACGACCTACTTCCTGTTGAAAGTGAAGGCTGTGCACTTGGTTTTCTTGCACTTAGCCCTTACTGACTCATCCCTGCAGCTTCCTTCTCGCTTCTGCAGAGGAGTTCTCATCCCTGGCCATGGCCGATTCCCCCAGCAGAGTCTAGATCACACCTCACCTGCCTTCTCAGGTGTATTAGTTTTCTATTGCTGTGTGGCAATATTACCACAAACACAGTAGCTTAAAATATCACTCACTTACTGTCTCTCATCTGTGGACCAGAAGTCCAGGCACAACTTGGCTGGGTCAACTGCAAAGCTGCAATCGTAGGCAGCTGACAACATGTCGGCTTACTTCTTCAAATCAAGTAATGGTGTGAGAGACTCCAGCAAGAGGGACGCTTTCTCTCTTTCTTTCTCTCTTACATTTACATTTCATCATCTTTGCCATATTCTCTTCTTTAGAATCAAATCGAGGTCCAGGCACAGGGGATCCTAAAAGGGTGTGAACACCATGAGGCAGGGATTATGGGAAGCCCTACATAAGTCTGTTCACTGCTTCAGGGGACATGCTTCTTATTTCCTACCTCTTCTATATCTTCATCTTCTCTCTATTTGACATAAAAAAACCTGTGAAGTTCCTGACATGTGGGGGAAACATAGACCAAAAAATGTTCTTAGCTCCTCAATAGTATCTAAATGTTGTTGACTCGGAACAGCCAAGCTTCTTGGAGGAGTTTTCTCATTCTTAGAAGAGACATCTACACAGGACTCCTCTTTACTATTTTGACTGTTTTCTTTAATTTTTGTACTGAGGTATAATTTATACATAGTGAAGGTACAAATTTTAACGGTTCATCTTTATGAAATTTTACATATATAAACCAGAGTATTCACCTCACAGGTCAAGAAATACAGTATTTCCAGCACCTCACAGGCTTCTTGTGCTCCCTCCTTGTTAATATCCCCTTCTACAAAAGGACCCTATTACTATAGATGAGTTTTGAAGGCTTATAAATAAACCCCACAATACATAATACTGTCCTGTCTTCTTTTGATAATCATGACTCTGAGATTCCTTCATGTGGTTGCATATATTTGGAGTTAATTTCTTACTGTGCAATATCTCAATGAATGAATAGATACTATACCCATCTTTCTGTTGATGGGCATTTGGCTTGGTCTCCATTTTCCAGACATTACAAAGAATGTTCTCAATGCTATGAATGCTATGGATATTCTCAATCGTATTTTTTCTTGTCTATAAGCACACATTTCTGTTGGGAATATACAAATGAGCGGACTGGCTGGGTCATGGTATAGGTATATGATTAGCTTTAATAGAAAAACAATCAGTTTCAAAGTGACTACACCATTTCAGATTCCCACCGGTCATGTGTGAGAGTCCTTATTGCTCCACATACTGGTGAGCAGGAGGTATCTTCCCCATTACTCTTGGAGGCCCAGTAGTGGTATTTCTCAGCACCACAGTACTGGAAATGTTCTTATTCGGGTTACTGTTGACATTCTCATTGGCAAATGCAACTGTAATAATTATAATAGATAGTGGTCTACCATTTACTGAACATTTGCCATGCACCGTGCTGATTGATTTAGATACTTTTTCTCATATAACTTGGTTATGGACTGAATGTGTCCTCCCAAAATTCATATGTTGAAGCCCTAACTCCCTGTGTGATGATATTAGGAGATGGGGCCTTTGGGAGATGACTGGGTTTAGATGAGGTCATGAGGGTGGAGCCCCCATGATGGGATTAGCATCCTTATAAGAAGACAAAGAGAGACCGTAGCCTTTCCTAGGTGTGGTCTGTGGTGCTGGGGATTGTGGAGGGGAGAGGGAGAGCTCTCTGATGTCTCTTCTTTTGGGGCACTAATCCTATCAGATCAGGGCTCCACCCTTATGACTTCATTTAACCTTAATTACTTCTGTGAAGGCCCTATCTCCAAATACACATCGGAGGTTATGGCTTCAACACATGAATTTGGGGTAACACAAACATTCAGTTCATAACAAAATTTGTTTTTTGGGTAAATATAAGGCTATTCAGATATTCTGCTTTTTCTTGTGTCAGTTTTGGTAATTTGAGTCTTTTAAGGAATTGTCCGCTTCATCTAATTATCCTATCTGTTACTTTTAAAGATTATTTCATCTTAAAAAAAAAAAGATTGTTTCATCTTAAAATGGTAAATTTTGTATTATGTATATTTTACTGCTAAAAATAAATTTAAGATATGTACATATCATTTTTGCCATTAAAAACTGACATTCTCAAAAAATTTGCAAAACTGTTTCATTGTACTCATGTGAGTATATTTCACTTTTTTATTTAGATGATTATAAAAAGTATACCATAGTTTATATTGTCTTAGGGGATTTGAACTTTTTGTTCAACAGTATATCACTAAGCTTCATGATGCATATAGCTATAGTTTACTCATTCTTTTCTTCTGTAGCTGTTTGCATGAGTGTAACACTTTGTATTTATGCACTCTCATGGGCATTTCTTGTTTCCAGGTTTTTTTACCCACAAACAGTGCTGCCATGAAAATTCACATACATGTGTCCTCATGCACATGTGTAGGAATTTCTCTTAGTTCTATTCCTAGGACTGAAATTTTTGAATTACAAGGTAAACAAAAGGAGACCTTCACTAGAGGATGCTCTGTTGTTTTCTAAAATGGTTAGTTATGCCCATTTACACTTCACCTGCATTGTATGAAAGATTCCTTGGATCCACATCCTCTCCAACACTTGATATTGTCAGGTTCTTAAGTTTTTTCAGTCAGGTGAGTATAAAGTGGAATTTAATTGTGGTCTTAATCTGCCCTTTCCTCATATCCAAGAAGGTTGAGTACCTCTTCATATGTTGATTGGCCAGTATACATCTTCTGTGAAATGTAAGTTCATAGTAATATGTTCAGTTTTCATTTTGGGTGTGGAGTGTTGAAGTTTCCAGCTGTAATTGTGGTTATGTGTATTTTTCTTTTCAAATCAGTTTTTGGTGTATATATTTTGAGCCTCTGATATTTGGTGCCTACAGACTTAGGATTGTTATGTCTTCCTGATGGGTTGATCCTTCTATCATTATATAATATATCTCTCCTTTGTTTCATTTTCTTTGCCCTGTAGTCTATGTTATCTGATATTAATATAGGCACCTTTGTTTGTCTTTTTAAAAATTTTATGTAGTTTAGTCAAATTGACTAGTCTTTTATAATTAATGCTTTTGTATCTTGTTTATGAAATCTCTCTCATTCCCAAGATCTCAAAGATATTCATTTTTACTATTTACTAAACATTTTTAATGTTTAGCTTCTAACTGTTAAGTCTTAATCAATCTGGAGAGAATTTTTTGTGTGGTGTGAGGTAGGAATACAATTTCCTTTTACCCCATATGGCAGATGTCTTTACTAGACCCATTTATTGAATAGTCCCTTCTTTCCCACTGGTGTCTCTGCTACTTCGTCATATATCAAAGTTTCGTATATACATTCTGAGCTCTCAGTTCTGTTTTCTTCCTATTACATTTTGATAGTATATCTTATATCTGTGCCTACATCACACCACCTTGATGTATATAATTTCATCATAATCCTAATTCCTCAAAGGGCAAGTCCCCTACTTTACCCTTCTTCTTCAGAGATATCCTGATCTCTTTGTGCTTTTCTGTAAATTCCACAATCAGCTTGTCAATATCCATGAAAAACCCTATTGGGATTTTATCTGAAGTTGTATTGAATTTATAGATGAATTTGAAGAGAAGTGACAACTTATATTATTAATCTTTCTTTTCATATAGATCTTCATTAATGTGCTATTTTATAATTTCTTCATCTAGATTTACTATTTTGTGTCTGTTCACCTAGTCTTTACTCAGACATAGTAGTAAACTCAACATGTGCACCCAGTTGCTTCTCACCTTCCTGTACTTTCACACAGTTCAGAATCCTGAGATTTTGTTTCTCCTCTGTCCCTGCCTGCCTCTCCATCCTCATCTCCACCATCCTCTCATCCTCTTCACTTCGCCTTCTCTCAAGACTCTCAACCTTTGTACTTCCTGTCACCTGCTGCAATCTCTCTCCTAATTCCTCTGTCAGGGAGTTCCTACTCTCCTTTGGAAATAAGCTCACATAGCCTTTCAGGTGGTCCTCGCTGACCTCATTCTGTCTCGCAGCTGGGCCAACTTAGGTGCACCCTCCCTGTGCTGTCATAGCACCATGAGATGTTAGAGCACAGACATTACATACAGTGTAATCATTACTCTGCTCACCAGCCCCCATCCTGGAGTGAGGAGGAGTCTCCACTCCAGATTCTCTGTCCTCTGCCCCAGCTTTTCCTCCTGGGTTACCTTTTAAAGATATCTAGAGTCCAAGGATTAGTAAAGGAAGAAATTGTGAACCTGGGTTTAAGAGATGTAAAAATGCCATGGGCATTAGAGGCATTACTTTCATCTTCATTCTACCACCAAAGTGGTAATTTTGTTTGTTCTCTGTTGATGTCACTGACACCTTTTTTGTATTGGATTTCCTCAGGTGAAAGAAGAAAACACGAGACCACAGAGCTTACTGCTGCTTCCCACCTGGCCTTCACCGAGGAAGCTCCTTTCAAGGAACAAGTGACACAGGCAGCCCCAAGAGATTCCAGATTGGGGCAAGCAAGAGATCAGGAAAAGCTGTCAGAAATGCAGGAAGGGAACTTAAGGCCAGGAACAGACCCTGACGAGGAGACATGCCCTAGGAAGTTGAACCGTAAACATGATTTGGAAACAGATGATAGTCTGTGTTTAAGGGTTTTACAGGAGCGAGTCACTACACGAGATGCTCTGCATGAACATGATTCCCAGGGACCAAGAAAAGACCCTGTGATTGATGCAAGGAATAACCTCTACAAATGCAAGGAGTGTGGAAAAGGGTTTAGCAAGAATTGGGCCCTTGTTCGGCATCAACAGATTCATGCTGGAGTGAAGCCCTATGAATGCAGTGAATGTGGGAAAGCCTGTCGTTATATGGCAGACTTCATTCGACATATGAGGTTTCATACTGGGGAAAAACCATACAAGTGTATCGAGTGTGGAAAAGCCTTCAAACGTAGGTCTCACCTCACAGAGCACCAGCGTATTCACACTGGAGATAAACCCTATGAGTGCAAAGAATGTGGTAAGGCTTTCACCCACCGCTCCTCTTTTATCCAGCATAATATGACCCACACTAGAGAAAAGCCCTTTTTGTGCAAAGAATGTGGGAAAGCTTTTTACTACAGCTCTTCCTTCGCCCAACACATGAGGATTCACACTGGAAAGAAACTCTACGAGTGCAGTGAATGTGGAAAGGCCTTTACTCACCGCTCCACTTTTATCCAGCATAATATGACCCACACGGGAGAAAAGCCCTTTTTGTGCAAAGAATGCGGAAAAGCTTTTTGCCTCAACTCATCCTTCACTCAACACATGAGGATTCACACTGGAGAGAAACCCTATGACTGCAACGAGTGTGGCAAGGCCTTTACTCACCGCTCCACTTTTATCCGGCATAAGAGGACCCATACTGGAGAGAAGCCCTTTGAGTGCAAAGAATGTGGGAAAGCCTTTTGTGACAGCTCTTCCTTAATTCAACACATGAGGATTCACACTGGTGAGAGGCCCTATGAGTGCAGTGAATGTGGAAAGGCCTTTACACACCACTCTGTTTTTATCCGACATAACAGGACCCATAGTGGAGAAAAACCCTTGGAGTGTAAAGAATGTGCAAAAGCCTTTTACTATAGCTCTTCCTTTACTCGACACATGAGGATTCACACTGGAGAAAAACCCTATGTATGCAGAGAATGTGGAAAGGCCTTTACCCAACCTGCAAATTTTGTTCGGCATAATAGGATCCACACTGGAGAAAAACCCTATGAGTGCAAAGAATGTGAGAAGGCTTTTTGTGACAACTTTGCCTTAACTCAACACATGAGAACTCATACTGGAGAGAAACCCTTTGAATGCAGTGAATGTGGAAAGGCCTTCAGCCACAGTTCATCTTTCACTCACCATCGAAAGATTCATACCAGAGTTTAAAAGATGTAGGAAGAGCTTTTGCAAGTGTGTTCACTTCAATTTTAGTGCACTCATACTGGTGAAATACCTTTCCTTTTGAATATAGCTATTCAGGAAAATCTTTTGGCCAGAGAAATATCTTACTCAGTATCTGATAATTCATACTGAAGAGAACCATCATAATTGCTATCCATGTGAAAGCTTTCTGAGGAAGGTCATCTGAAGGGTCATTAGAAATTGACCTGCCTAAAGCCTTATGCTATATCTGAAAATTATCCACAAGAGAGACCCAGGGGTTATCATGCATTTAGGAAGAATTTCAGCAACAGTTCTGCCCATGTTTATACTACAAATTCATCTCGAGTATTTTAAAAGAACAAGGAGAGGTAGAAGAGGAAATGTATAAGAGAAAAGAAAAAGAAATGCGTTTATGGCTTCTTTTTAGTTTCCCTGCCAAGCTTGTAACAATTTGTCATTGGGGGGAGTGGTGTTGGGGATACAAGAGATAAAAAGGCCTCATCCCCTTTATGTGTTTTTTATACATCCATAGTCAGGTGGGTTGGACCATTCAGGGCAGCTCTGCCAACATTTATTAAAAGTATTCTTTACTCCAAAACATTGTCCTGTCCACCCTTGAGAAGCATAAGTCTGTGAGAAATATAAAGGCCTGAGTCATGGAATACTTCTTACAGATACACACACACACGCCTATATAGGTGCAGTCAATTCTTGTTATGGTGGTTAGATTCTATAAATTCACCACGAACACTGAATTAGTGAATGCTGGACCATTGCTCCTAGGGGAAATACAGGTTTCGTTTCCTTTGAGCCTCTGTTCACATTTTCCTCAACCAATCAATACATAACCTTTATGGAATGCTTTTTCTCTGTTTAAAGACACCTTATTTAATATATGTTTCTTATAAATATATGCAGTATTTCATTATAATAAAAATATTTCAATTACATCATCTTTGTATAATGTGTTCTATCATTACTGTACTGCTTTAACTTTCACTCAGTCATACACACATGTAAACAATAGATGCAGTGCTCCTACAATAAACACAGGAAATGCTATACAGTACAGTCATGCAAAGAAAGTCCTAGAAAAACATTAAATATTAACTCAAATGAATTAAAAATCAACATTAACTACAACTCTAATTTTGATAGAGTTGCAGGATGTGTGATGGGGAAGTGCACTGTGTGGATAAACCTCTTGCCCTTGGCTTGCCCCAAGAAAACCAAGGGAGAGGTTGAAGGAACTTACTCTGTAGAAGCGGAAGACATTGACGAGGGTGGCATGTCAACATCTAGCCATTCTACCTCAGGACTGACTCTTGCCACTTGTTGATGGCATCAGCAATTTTCTCTCCTGAACCAGCCTGAAAAGTTGTATCAGCCTTGTCTGCTTGGCTTTTTGCGTCAAATCTCTAATTGTCTCACCATAAGGAGTGAACACGAGTAGAGGTTAGGTTCTTAATTTAAGACTGCATTCAAGCATAGAATCACATTCTTTCATGTCATTGAAAATTTTCCCAAGGCAGAATTTCATTCTGCTATTTTGGCTGCTATGCGAGGGACAATTCTTGGAGTCTTAGACTGGTTTTCATCACCATCCTCATCATCACTGAGCTGATGCCTTACTTTGCTGTCTTTGTTAGTGGGTTCTACTGCCTTCTCTGCCAAAATTTTTTCCACATCTTTCATCACGTCATTGAAGCCTTTTCCACTAACTCACCCTGTGATGTGCATGATATGTATGACACAGTCCTTTATATTTTCTGTAACACCTTCAAGGCCTTTGAAATTTTTTAGGCAGTCTGGCCAAACATTTTTCCAACCGTTATTGATAGTCTGCTTGATGCTATCCCAGGCTGTGCCAACACAGTAACAGTGCGAATAGTGACTGATTTCCAGTAGTCCATCATGGTGTCCTTGTTGGTGTTGAGAGCTTTGCTATAAAGCTCCTTTGTGTTGTGCACATGAAAGATTTTATTATGCCCTAGTTGAAACGTTGGAAGACAGATACAGTCTAGGTTGGGGTGGGCATTTTCAAGTTCTTCATGGCAATAAACTGAAACATCATCCAAAATTAATAAAACTGTGGAGGCAGAAGTTTTGCCCTGGAGATAGCATTCAACTTCTTGGATAAGCAGAATATTTCTGACATCACTCAGACTTTTTCATTCCACCTACTGTGGACTGACACATGGTTCAGGTTTTTCCTTTAATTTCCTGTGGATTTGGGGCTCTGTACATCACTAGGGACTTGCACTTAAAGTTACCCTTGGCATTGATACACAATAGCACGGTTGCATCATATTTGAAAAATTTAAAGTTGGGGAGCTTTGGAGGCCATTTGCATCGTATGGGTTCATTTGCCAACAGCCTTGTAAAGCAAGCCAGTCTCATCAGCGTTGAACCCTGCTCTTCCACATAACACGTTTCCTGTATAACACTTAGAAGGCATTTAAAAAATTATTCCACAGCCCCCTGATCTGCAGAACCTGACTTGCCTGCAAGTTGAACATTTGTCATGTTGTACTGCCTTTTGAAATGTATAAATCAGCTAGCACTAGCTGATCAGGGTTTCAACATTTTCCTGACCTGGGTAATGTGATCGTAAATTTTGACTTTTACCATTACAACAATGGTGTCTCCTGTGCTTTTTCTTCATCAGTCTTCATTTCATGAATCCACAACTTTAGCCATTTTTCCATCTTTTTCATAGCTGCATAACACACTATAAATGTTTTAACACTTTCTGGAATGGCCTTATGTACCAGTGAATTTCCCCTGTCTACTTTTGAATATGCCATATTGTTGATTTATTAACATTGAACTCACACCCAATAGCAGTATAATTCATGACTGAATGATGCCTATCTAGCACATGTATTTTTTTCTAAGACACACCACAGCCTTTCACTTATGAACACTAGACAACACCTTACCACTAGGCTTGGAGGCCAATTTCAGCAGCAAAATCACCACTGAAAAAATGCAAAAAATGTGGCATTAAATAGTTCATGAGAAGGACACTTTATAGTATGAGAGATGAAACTGGAAGGCAGAGTGACACTTTGTTTGACCTCAGCTGGTAACATGCATGTTGGGTGACTAATTTTTTACCATTCTGCATGTGTCTGCAAATGACTGTGAAAATACTACAGGTATTGATTTTGGGGTTACAAATATATTTTAGAGAATAGGTGAATTTGCAAATAACGAGGATTGCTTATTAAAGATATATATAGTGTGTATATATAGTATATATGTGTATGTATACATACATATATATATATATATATATATATATGCATGTTGCATAGTATAGTTTTCTAGTCATTGGGAATGCATTGCCTCTCGGAGACCGTGTCTTCCCTCAGGATGGCCATCTGTGCTATGGCTGTGGCTGTACCTGTAGCTGATCCTGGTGGCTAAGAGCCTAGACTCTGGTGATGGATTGGGATTTCAGACCAACCACTGTTTATAACCATGTAACAGTAAACACAAGGCCATGTCACTTAGCCCTGGGCCACAGTATTCTTGTCTGTAGGAGGTGGAAGGTGGACATTAAAATTTAAAGCACAAGAATGGGAACCAGCGGTAAGCTAGGTGATATTCAGACCTAGGCAACATGCAGACGCCCTAGCTAGGTTCAAAGGTGGGGAATAGCAGTCCAGGAAAACAGAACTGCATATCCAAGACCCTGAGGTTGGTAAGAGCTTAGTCTGTTGGAGGAACCAGGTCAAAGCCAGTTTGGCTTGACAGGGAGAATAGAAATTGATAATTGATGGGGTAGTGTAGCAGGGCCAGATGCACAGGTAAGGCACCATAGAAATCTGGATTTAATTCTAATTGTTCTGTGAAACCATAGGATCATTTCAGCAGAAACAAAAGATTTTCTCCTGTTTTTAAAAAAAATTTTACAGTTGAGTGTTTTACATTTTGGTTAGAATTTTTCAACCTTCTAAAGCTGAGATCATTAATTTGAGATCTTTTTTCTTTGCTAATAAAGGTTTTTAGTGCTATACATTTCACCCAAAATACTGGTTGAGTAGCATTCTATAAATTTTGACATTATGTTTTAATTTTCATTTAGTTCTAGTAATTTTTAATTTCCCCTTTGATGTATTCTTTGGTCTGTACAATTTAACATAATTTGATTGTGGTTTGAGTACATACTTTGTATGACTTAAAAAGAATCCTTTTTTGTTTATTGAGATTTGTTTTATGACCCAGAACGTGGACTATCTTGATAAATGTTCCATTTACCTGAAAATAATGTGTATTCTGCTCTTGTTGAGTGTTTTGTAAATGTCAAGTTGGTCAAGAGTGTTGTTCATGACTTCTATGTTCTGATTTTCTACTTGTTCTACTAATTATGTAATGGTTTTTAAAACTCCTACTATAAAGGTACATTTGTCTGTTATTTCTTGCATATCATTTTTTCATGCATTTTTAAAACTCTTTTATTAGGTACATATATGTCTTTGCCTGTAGTCAACTCTCTGATGTTAATATAGCCCCTCTGGTGCTCTTTAGCTTATTGTTACAATGGTTTATCTCTTTTTGCCCTTTGACTTTTAAACTATTTGTGCCTTTATAGTTGAAGCAGTTTTCTTATAGGCAGCATATTATGGGTCTTACTTTTTATCTACTCTGAAAATCTCTGCCTTTTAATTAGAACATTTAAACCATTTACAGATAATTTGATTATCCATACTGTTGGGTTTCAACTAACTATCTTGCTATTGGTTTTCTCTTTATTCCATCTGTTCTTTATTTTATTTTCCCTCATTTTCTGCTTTTGGATTATTTTTTATGATTCTACTTTATCTCCTTTAATTGATTTATTAGCTTTTTTGAGTTTAGTGATTGATTTAGAGTTTATAGTACACATCAGAGACTGACAAACTTTTTCTCTAATGGGCCAAATAATAATTATTTTAGGCCAAGAGGAAAAGTCAAGGATATTAAATCAGTACATATATAACAATTGAGAAAACAAATTTCCACACATTTTTAATTCTTAAAAGTCAAAATAAAATAATAATTGACCATATTTTTTTGCAATATAGGTATATCAATGCAATGAAAAGAATTATTTGGGGGGAGCTAACATTTCACTTAACTATAGATGAAAGTTAGTGTTTTTATCAAAATACATTACAAATGTTCATCTGTTAATGCTCATCTGTGATGAGATTTTACCCATACCACTTAAAAAAAAGTACAATGAATTTTAATTAAATTCAATATAGCACCCACAAAATGTTACTATTTCATCTTTTAAACTTTCTTGACACACATTGATATACTATCAAATACTGACACAATCCATGAGCATTTTTATCACTTGGGTGGCATTTATAGAATTCAATT